GCAGGGGTTTGCGCGCGGACAGGACAAATCGCACTCTCGCCTGCATTTCGTGCACTCCACACGCACGATCTCCGCAGAGGGTTGCGCGCGGACCGGGCAAATCGCACTCTCGCCTGCATTTCGCGCACTCCACACACACGATTTTCGGTTGACGCTGTTCGTCCCACTCTCCGCCTTTAAAGAGAATTTATAAAGTGGGGGAATGTTTTTCATTAGGATATCTCCCGTGAAAGGTTCCTTTTTCATGCTTATGCTTACACTTGCACACTTACACTTGCATACTTACACTTGCGTACTTACACTTGCATGCTTACACTTGGATACTTACACTGGCATACTTGTGCTTGGATGCTTTTCACTTGCAAACTATCGCAAACTTACACTTCGACACTTCAGTGCCATTGTAAGTATACAAGTGTAAATGTTCAAGTGTAAGTATAGAAGTGTAAGTGTTCAAATGTAAGTATAGAAGTGTAAGTGTTCAAGAGATTTTCCGGAAGAACCCTTCGCAATGCTTTCGGGAAAAATCTTGCACAGGCATAGCCCGAGTTCCTCTTTGTGTCAAGGTCTTGAATGAGTTTGGCAGCTCAAGGGCCATTGTGAGCAATGCAACGGCGAGGATTCCTTAGTCAACCGCAGGTTTCTTCACATACCCAACTTGCTCATAGCCCGAAGCACCCCACTGTTGAAATCCCCATCCTTGCCGGTGAAGGACGCCATTTTGCACCAGAGGTGTGCAACATTTGAAATGGTTTCTGCATGTGTTTTGCTTCAACACTAGTTTCTATCCATACCCAAATCACAATCGCTGTAGGCAGGTGACGGTGATCCCTCGCGGTCAAGCGAAAGGCCTCACCTGGTTTACGCCAGGGGAGGACCGCCCAGCGATAAATCAAACTTATGAAACTTTAGAGGTTTCGAGAGCTCCTTGTTGGAACCTTGGCTCTCGTGATTTGGAAGGATCACCAATGTTTGCTCATGGGTTGTAGTTGATGATATTAGGTGCCATTTGGGCCTTCGATGGAGAGAGTCATGGGCAAAGAAACGACCTACTACCCCACTGGTATGTACTTTGTTTGGGAAGATGTTTGACCGACTCACAGAAGTTCACAGCATTAGTAGTTTTGTAGCAGGACCAGAGCCTCATCTCTGCTGCCATGCTGAAGGCACACCTGTGAAATGAGGGAGGTCCCAAGCTGGCAGATTGGGTTTCCCAGCTGAACATTTAAGAGAAAACCTGAGCAGCCTACCAATCATCCAGAGGCTGCAACCGCATGTGATGAAACGGCGAAGAATAGTGCGGAAAGCATTGATTCTTGCTTCCCCAGAAGGATTTCACAAGTGCTTCTCCTGGCTAGCCTTTTGAAACTCATCGTTTTGGGGTTTCATTGGTAGGCCTTTTCAAAGAAACAAACAACTTTAGACTTTGAACTATGGCATCTATTATTCAAGGATACGGATGATAACACTTACACCCTCAAACACCCCATTGTGAAAGAGTACTCTCAGAACTTCCATTGGCTGAATCGTCTACACTGAGTGTAGATGACCCGCCCAGTGCTCCTGTCCATCAAAGACCTTTCTTGCCCCATTCCTTTTCCGGCCAGTCCGGATCGGTGCCGAGACCAGGCACGGATCGCGGGAGCCTTGGGCGGCCGTGCTGCCGAGCAGTTGGTCTTTGGCACCAACCAGGTGACCACAGGCGAGGTCGGTATAGCTCACTGGAAGTTCACTGGGGGAGTGAAGATCTAGGAACTTGAAACAGCTTGGTAGGTGTGCGATGTCGAGGTCAATCATGCAGAAGTCAACAGAACTATTTGTACATAGTGTCTTTGAGCACCTCTGCCTCTTCGGTATATCTGTTTAAGTTGCTCGTTCTCAGCGTGCCTACAATTTGGACCTGCTCTTGGAAGGATGAGCTGGACTGAACACCCTCGACTGACATTGTTTGCTTCTGCTTGGAGTTTCCTTCAAGGGCAGGACCTTTTGCGCAGGACCTGCACCTCAATTTCATCAATTATCAGGATGTATGTGGTTTTTAAATACACATTGACAATCATTGACATGAGCCGTGCAAAGATGGTGCGTAACTGCGTTGTCAGTCGAGCTCAAATTTGCTTGGCACATGATTCATGTTTCTTACAAAACATCTATATATAGTAGCTAGCGACAGCTAGCTGTAGTCTTCCCAACCATGCAAGTCTGGTCTAGCACCAGGGTATGTTTTCACAACATTCACAAAATGGATTCTATTGGCAGCCAGCGTTTGGCAAGGTGCTGGTGGTGATTTACAACAGGTGGAGCGCATGGCTCGCGCAATGGTCACGCAGTTCGGCATGTCTGACGTTGGTGCCTGGCCCTGAACTGTTTTGGGTGGGTTGGCTAACTTGGCTGAATGTAAACCCTATTGTTTATTGTATTTTATAGTCATTATCCTTTGTACATCACAACTCTTGGTTCGAAGATGGTTCAACTCCCTGAAAAACGACTCAAAAAAGAAGGAGCGGCGCACCTTGACCCACACCCGCACACAGACAAAGCATTTGTATCATATCACTGTATCACACTGGAAGTTTTCTTCGGTCTGAGCGTGGGTGCGGGGTGGTCCAGTCGTCCGCGTGCAGGTTCCATTGCCATCGACGATGGAGGCTTTATGGGGCCTAACTATTCAGAGGATTTGAACCAAAAGATCGACAAGGCGATCAAGGCCTCAGGGGTACTCTGGTGGTGCCGCAGAAAGGGTGGGGAGAGCCAGAGGATGTGGGACATGCACGACCGCAGTTGTGCCATTGTTCTGAAGATTGGGTGCGGTCTCGGGAAAGATCTCCAGTTTGAGAGGTGGGTCACATTCTGAGAGCTCTGGTGGAGCAAGTCAAGCTGGACAGGACATCTCTGATGAATGCTACCTGAACGCGCAGTGGCCTTAGCCGTAGCCACAATCTACAGCAGCCTGAAAACATGTCATGTGGCCATGCAGTTGCTGAATTGGCCGATGAAAGAGGGCCTACCATCAGAAGCGTCGTTGGAACATAAGACAAATTATGAACACCCCATGTCGGGAATCCCCTCATCCATGGCCGCAGCACAAGGATCATTCGCCCCTGAGAGAGAGGTATATTGTCACTTAATGCATGCTGCAAGCTGCCAGTTATATAACCATTTACTCACAACGAGCTCTTGATAGTCCCTGGCGGACCATCCAATAGGCTTAAGAACACCTAGACTTCTTGAGTTTCTTTTTGTAGCCGAGGTTGACCATCCTGAATAACAACCGCGCCTGTCTGGACCGTGTGGCGGATGAGCTCTGTGAGAATGAGACGATTTCAGGAGCAGCGAGCGGTTGGCGGCGCTTTGCGCAGTCCCGGCATCCCAAGTAACATCAAGTGACAACAGAGGGTCAGGATGGTTGAGGATGAAGGTTGGGCTGAGCGCGCGAGTGCATACCCAGCCACCCGTTGGTGAAGGGAAACTCATGTTGGGACAGCCCCAGGTGAGTTCCTTTGGCACAGCGCCCAGTGCTTGGTTCTCCGACCATGCCATCCCATCAGATTCTGAAGACTTACCGGTGGACATGTTTGTGAATTGACTCTTGGACGGATATGAATCTCATGCCCAGCGTCCCAAGACGCAGAAGCGAAATGGGTTGCAGTTCCTTTTCCCGCAGTCGATCCACGTGGAGGATGGTTTGCAGGATAGAGCAGGGTGCTACGCTGCTAATTTCCGTTTTTTCGATCTTACACTTTTCATACCTAGCCGGCCTGCAGCTGCCGGGTTCCAGCCCTTTCAGGAGACCGTCTCCGTGAGCTCGTGGCCCAGTACACCGAGGTCCCTGAGAAGCTGGCGGCGGTGTGAGACGAGCCTCACGAGACATGACGTCTGAAGGGGCTTCGTGTGATTTTAGAGCTTCAGTTGCATCAAGGCCTGGCTTTTTTTTCTGGGCTTAAATGCCTCCAGGCCTATGGCCTATAGTATTTTAAGGCATTTAACATGATTTTCCGGGTGAGCACGGTGGATGAATGAGAGGCAGTGTTCGAACCACACTTTTTGTAGGGCTTCACTCTGACTGGTACTATCCAGCTGCTCGCCCAGAACATATGTTGCCTCCATGCGAGGGTGAGACCATGCAATTGAGGATCCATACTTAGAAATGCAAACATAATACCAATTGACAGCGGCAACTTCTGGTTCTTTGTGACAAAAGTGAGTGCCAGTACTAACTCTGAAGTAATGTATGCGTACGCACACATTCCATTTTAAAGCATACTCCTGGCATGCTTTCGGCTCTTAAACATACAAACAATCTAATTTCACAGCACGGCATTTGTCATTGATTTTCCTGGCCTCTTTGCAAGAGGCCCTCTTCGGTAGCAATCCTTTACCGCAAGTAAAACCGCTTTGGAACTGACTACACTGACTACACTGACTACACGGACTACACATCGGTGGTTATTTTTCCAGACACACACTCTGTTGTGTTTCGGCAGTTTCTACCTGATGGTCTGTTCACACATTATTTGTCTAACTTTGTATATTTTTTTGTCTATATTTTTATCTCTACTATTGACTTACTATATATTTTGATATTATTCTCTTCACACATAAATGAATAGCAATAACAACGTATACAGAAGAAGAGACTTGACAATGCCTTGATGATTTCACCTCGTATGGAAGAATTTTCGGCAGAGTTGCGATTGTACAGGGATGCGAACCCGAAGGCAATGTGGCCATCCCCGAAGTCAGACAATTCCTCAGAACGGCACGTTTGTTCATTCTCTTTCAAACTTCTGTCATGGCCACGACCAAATGCCACCAGCACTCTGCCCCAAATCCCGGTTCACTCAGCGATCGGGAATCAGTCCGCCACTCTCCAGCTGCGCTGCAGTGGCAAACAATAGATTTTCGGTGGGCCTGCTAGTATACAGTGCGCCCTTCTTGGGCTTGCTCACCAGCTCTTCATGTGTTTGAAAAGTTTGTCGATCACGATGCCCGAGTGAAGACAAAGGCAACATTCATGCAACATAGCAAGGAATTTTGGCAGATTTGGGAGGGGTAAGGTTTCTCAGACGCCCGCACACTTGTTCTTGGAATGCTTTACACTCCAGATTGCGTTTTGCATGCTGAGCTCCATTGAGGTGGCAGCCTAGTGGCTTTCCACGAAGAGGGCACTGCCGTTGGCTACTCGCGCGCCGCGGCACAGCCAAGTGGAGCGTGTTCGCGGGGCCATGTTCTCTCATGCAGTGGACAAGTGGCTCTTCTGATCGCTTCGACCTTATTTCTCAACTCCTTGCCCAGTGGTACACTTCCTCTTACCAGTGAGCCTGCCATTGAATCAGCAAGACCCTATACAAAGAGAGCTGGCACCTTGGTGTTTTCATCAGGGTGCTGATGGACAATGGCTGGACTCTGGTGCCAGTCTTCTGATGAACCTGGCGGTACAATTCTGGTGATCCAAATGTCAGGAGCCTTCTTAACTTCCACGAGAGGCATGGGCCAAGGGCCTTTCACACATGCAGATCAACCCACGAATGCCACACTTCTATAGATTTGGAAGCGCCTCGCTCCGGGGAGAAAGGAGAAGCGATGTGCCTTCCCGTGATGCTGGCCCGGGCTGGTTGGCCAGCGATCCCATTCAGGGTTTGGGAATGAGGAATGCTTGTGACTGTTGAGAGAGAGAGAGAGCGAGAGAGAGAACCAGGCTTGGCTGTTCTAGCGATTCTAGCCCAGACCCATGCACCGTTTTCACTGGCCATACCTCTACCTGGAGACTGGAAAAAGTCGTTGAAAGCTGGTGGCCACTTTGCCTAGATTATCCAAGATTCGTGTTGAGCATACTAATAATGGTTAGATAGGAATTCATTGACTGTAGCTCTACTCGGCTGTCCTGAACTTGGTATTCGGGCTGGTGATCGCTGGTTGCCAAGAGCAAACTGTCTTTGCAGAGTTCCCTTTCCACTCGCAGCCGCTGACAGATCAGCAGGCCCTTAATCCTTAGGTTTGGTGCATCAGCTCTCACAAATAGCACTGCAAGATCATTTTGCCCGTAGCTTTCATGAGCCTTTTGGAAGGTTTGATATGAAGACATTCGCGAGCCTCACTGCATATGAAAGTACCTCTTTAGAAGTCTTTCTTGGCCGCAGAATGGTCACTCTTCAAGAGGTGGGACTGCGGTGCGATGGTCCGTCCTGATTAGATAGAGGAAAACGGGGAAGACCCAGTTTGGACGTGGAAGCAGTGGGTCACACCATCACACTGATGTAGCGGCGGCAATGGCCACTCTTGAGAACCGCTCCTTGGGGGAACCTCTCTTAGCCTTTGTTTGGTGTTGTTAGTGCTAGGAATACACGTCTCACCATCGTTCTTCCTTCGGCGCACATGAGCAGGCTGCACCTGAGCAATCACCAAGAACGGCCCGCCACCCAGATGGAATTTCGATCACAGCTTGTCAAGCATTCAGGATGTCGGACTTTTGCATTGATCTACTTGATGATCTCTATCCTGTTGAATTTTTATCCACACCTTCTTTCGGCAGTGCAGTTCCATTATCCATGAATCCACGATGCAGAGATGTTTGGCAGGTGGTTCTGGAGTTGACAGCGGACTCTGATGTGGCCCAACTGCAGGCGGGGCTTGGTCAGAAGCTTTGCCTTGGAGTGCACCCCCAATGCTTTGCGGGAAAAGTGATGGACACCACCATGAAGAATAAAGAGCTTCGGGGTTCCTAACTCTTTTTCTTGGTCGGAAAGGACCAAGTCTTTGCAGATGACTCAGGTCCCAGAAGCCACACTAGATGTCTCAGGCGCTGTGATTTTCAGTATCTTTGTGGACACGTTTTGCTGAGATCATGTTTATGTCTTAGTAGCAGGTACAAACAGGCACCGTTGAACCTTTTCAATATTCAAGTGATTCTTCCTTTCTTATGCAGAAGGAACTGTTCACTTGATCAACATGTTTCGATCTTTTAGATGGCCGATTTGTTGGCAGCTCTGCAATGCAAGGGGACACGCAAGAAACTGCTGAGCGGAGGCGGGCCAGTTGGTATCGAAGGATGGCAGGTTGAGTACTGAACGTGTCTTTCGTAGAAGACGTTTTTCCACCCATCTTCTCTCAGTCCCCTCTGTTCATATGGATGTTTCTTCTTTTTGCAGCTGAAGCAGAGGTGCAAGAGAGACATTCCTCTGTTGCGGCAGGGTCTCGACACCCGCCGCCACACCGGCAGCACCGGAGGAGGGCAGATGGGATTTCCATGTGGCAAGATTTGAGACCAGCAGATTATTATTCATGAAGAAACAGAGCATGGCAGAGAACGGTATATTTCTCTCTGTAGAGGGGATTCTATTTGTAAATCACTAGAGGGGCAGTGCTTTCTCGTTTCAGCGGAGTAGATCGTTCGACTGGCACAGGGGAAGGGGCCTCTCTACAAGTGCGCCATATGTGGAGCTGCAGCCTCAGGTTTTCAATTTTGTAGGCCACAAGGTTTCACGACTTCATGCGCACATTCCGTTTTGGACCTACTAGTGATGGCCTCCAACCTACAAGCGATGGCGGTACCAAACAAAAGTTACCAAACAACAGTACCAAAGGGATTCTCGTGCCGCCGGGAAAAAGCCCAAGCGAGAAACTCGAGCGCTTCCTGCCCAAGGAATTCGTGTACGAATCGCAGTTAGATTATCATGTCTGGGGGCCCGAGCTGCGATGGGGCCATAGTCGGGATCGTGGATTCGGTCAAGCCAACAGATCAGATCTCCCTGTGGTGCCAGAGTCCAAGGTGTTTCAGGAAAACCCATGGCACGAATTGGTAGATGACATCTCCAACCAAGCACCTTGACACATGGCACCTTTGGGTTTGTTCAGTGGCGACTTGCACATGGCCCAAGCATGGCCCCTTTCCCCGCAGTCGAAAGGTCACTATCTGCCCGGACCCCAATGAGAGCAGTCCGCAGATCTCCACCCCGGGGCCAGAGGCGGGCAGTGGGGGAGTGGTTGCCTCTAGGCACTAGATCTAAAACGCGCAGAATTATCATGGAGCATAAGTATATTCAAGCCAATTACTATTTTTTTCTATTCTTTTGGTATGCCCCAGATTCAACCGTTTTGGATGCCATGTCGTTTGACACCAGGTGAAAGTGCCAGCTCGGCCCGATCCAGATCCTGTGGAGCAGGTGAGGTGCTTTTGTTTTTCTGTCTCTAAGACTCTCGACTCTCAGCCATGGCTTTTGTACATCCTGTAGAAGAGGGTTTTGTTCTTCCCTTTTTTCTTTCCCTTTTGTTCTTCCCACCAAACCAGACACATTGGGCCTCTACACAGGCATTATGCATTCTTGCCCTTTTCAGCAAGCTCTTCGCTTTGCATTACAGTGATCCTGATCATTCCAGGTCACCTTAGAGAAGTACGAGGATATGGTGCGGTGCGAAAGACGCTTGTAAAAGCGTGCGCCTGTTTGGATAGATAGACTTTCCCAAACACATGAACGGACAGATCATCCCACGAGTGTTTCACAAGACCAACCCTTTGGATGAAAGATGATGGCAGAGTCCGTGAAGCTTTCAGGTCAAGCGAGAAAGCCTTGCAGTCAGTACCAGCCCCAGCTTTATAATGAACTCTTCGACCAGAAACGGCAATGGATAGGATTCTTGGGCACCAGGAGATCAGAGGACGTGTCTCGATCGTGCGCCCAATTCAGGTGAAGAGACTCAGAAAATGTGGAAACAGTGGAAGGCCGATGCACCTGGGTCGCCGCACAGGGTGGTTCGAACAAATGTGGATCCTTATCGACGATTTGCGTGACATACCAAATTGTTGACATATCGAAGTCAATAGGTAGGGTCACTGCTTTTGTTTTCTTCTTCTT